TTTTGTCTCTCATAGTTGAGGTCTCCCTATGATGCCAATTACAGGCCTCTCTCATCTTTGTAAGTGGGAGAACTTGCACAATTGGTGGTGACTAAATACTTTTTTGCCCCACTGTACATTGATATGATGTTCCACACCGATTCTATTCTTTACCATCTGGTAATACTGGTCCCAATGGCTCCACACCACCTCCTCTATCACACTATGGAAGTTTCTCTCTGCTTATCCTTCCACGGCCCTGATATATATTGCCGAGCCTGTCCACGCCTAATTAATATTGAGTGGATATCGGTGTGATAGAGGAGGTGGTGTGGAGCCATTGGGACCAGTATTACCAGATGGTAAAGAATAGAATCGGTGTGGAACATCATATCAATATATGATTTGTGGCCCTTAGGGGTCGAGTGAATGAGGTGAGGAGGCACTCTACCTATTGGAGGTACAAGCACTAGAATGACCACTTTTTTTGAGCACATTTTGAAAGTGGAGGAAGATAAAGCACTTTACACTTTAAAGAGTGTGTTAGCACAAATTGTGCACTTTATTGTGGACTGATAATTTGATGGTTTACCTAACACTTGTCACTTTGTTCAGTGATTGCTCACTGTGTATGAATTCACATATATTCATTTATTTATGGTATGTCTATGTATTTATATAGTTTATAAAGCACTTGTCACTTTCTAGACACATAGTGTGTACATTTGTCACCAGTTTTAGTCACTGGGTGAAGACTGACAGTTTGCTTGGTTTGAACACGATTTTATTCCTTTGAGCACCAGTCACGTTTATAAAAAGCCTCATTATTGTCCATGTGTCCAAGTGCAAAGGTCAGGCAATGTGATTAAAGATCATTACAACGCACAGCCGACAGAAAGCTAAGTAAAGTGCAGAGCTGAGGAAATACTAACTGGTTGGCTTATAGTCTGGTGAAGGTTAGGGAAGTGGTCGCCCTCCTGGTGGTGTGAAAAGAACTGCCCGTCAGCTTGTCATGCACCAGATGGCTTGGACCCTCATGTCTTTTGGGCTTCAGGAACTACAGAGCCTTAACCTCATGGTAAGTTAGAGGTCCCTGCATAAGAGTGTGTGCTCCAGGCATGTGTGGAGTTGCCATGGATGTGGATCAGGGGGTGGAGTACGGAAGGTCTAGGACCCATCATCGTGCATATGTGTAGTCGATGTAGGGGCCCGCACTGAGCGCCAGGACTGGTTCATAGGTCAGTGTAACAGTCAGTGCTAAGGTTACGGTTTCACTTCAGGGCCCCAGCTGGGAGAGTTTGGCCATCTGGATAGGTTAGGGGAAATCTACAAGTAATGAAGTGCTCTGCTACATTGGTGGTCGGTGGAGAAGAGTGCTGATGTATTGGCGGTCGGTGGAGAACTATGATGATACTTTGGGGGTCAGTGGAGAACTATGATGATACTTTGGGGGTCAGTGGAGAACTATGACGATACATTGGGGGTCAGTGGAGAACTATGATGATACATTGGGGGTCAGTGGAGAAGTGTGCCAATGTATTGGCGGTCAGTGAACTATGATAATAATTTTGAGGTCAGTGGGGAACTATGATGATGCATTTGGGGTCAGTGGAGAACTATGATGATACATTGGGGGGTCAGTGGGGAACTATGATGATACATTGGGGGTCAGTGGGGAACTATGATGATACATTTGGGGTCAGTGGGGAACTATGATGATACATTGGGGGTCAGTGGGGAACTATGATGATACATTTGGGGTCAGTGGAGAACTATGATTATACATTTGGGGTCAGTGGAGAACTATGATGATACATTGGGGGGTCAGTGGGGAACTATGATGATACATTGGGGATCAGTGGAGAACTATAATGATACATCGGGGTCAGTGGAGAACTATGATGATACGTTGGGGGTCAGTGGAGAACTATGATGATACGTTGGGGTCAGTGGAGAACTATGATGATACATTGGGGTCAGTAGAGAACTATGATGATACATTGGGGGTCAGTGGAGAACTATGATGATACATTGGGGTCAGTAGAGAACTATGATGATACACTGGGGGTCAGTGGAGAACTATGATGATACACTGGGAGTCAGTGGAGAACTATGATGATACACTGGGAGTCAGTGGAGAACTATGATGATACATTTGGGGTCAGTGGAGAACTATGATGATACATTGGGGGTCAGTGGAGAACTATGATGATACACTGGGGGTCAGTGGAGAACTATGATGATACACTGGGAGTCAGTGGAGAACTATGATGATACATTTGGGGTCAGTGGAGAACTATGATGATACATTGGGGGTCAGTGGGGAACTATGATGATACATTGGGGGTCAGTGGAGAACTATGATGATACATTTGGGGTCAGTGGAGAACTATGATGATACATTGGGGATCAGTGGAGAACTATGATGATACATTTGGGGTCAGTGGAGAACTATGATGATACATTGGGGATCAGTGGAGAACTATAATGATACATCGGGGTCAGTGGAGAACTATGATGATACATCGGGGTCAGTGGAGAACTATGATGATACATTGGGGTCAGTGGGGAACTATGATGATACATTTGGGGTCAGTGGAGAACTATGATGATACATTGGGGATCAGTGGAGAACTATGATGATACATCGGGGTCAGTGGAGAACTATGATGATACATTGGGGGTCAGTGGAGAACTATGATGATACATTAGGGGTCAGTGGAGAACTATGATGATACATTGGGGGTCAGTGGAGAACTATGATGATACATTGGGGGGTCAGTGGAGAACTATGATGATACGTTGGGGGTCAGTGGAGAACTATGATGATACGTTGGGGGTTAGTGGAGAACTATGATGATACGTTGGGGGTCAGTGGAGAACTATGATGATACATTGGGGGTCAGTGGAGAACTATGATGATACATTGGGGGTCAGTGGAGAACTATGATGATACGTTGGGGGTCAGTGGAGAACTATGATGATACGTTGGGGGTCAGTGGAGAACTATGATGATACATTGGGGGGTCAGTGGAGAACTATGATGATACATTGGGGGTCAGTGGAGAATTATGATGATACATTGGGGGTCAGTGGAGAACTATGATGATACATTGGGGGTCAGTGGAGAACTATGATGATACATTGGGGGTCATTGGAGAACTATGATTATACATTGGGGGTCATTGGAGAACTATGATGATACATTGGGGGGTCAGTGGGGAACTATGATGATACATTGGGGATCAGTGGAGAACTATAATGATACATCGGGGTCAGTGGAGAACTATGATGATACGTTGGGGGTCAGTGGAGAACTATGATGATACGTTGGGGTCAGTGGAGAACTATGATGATACATTGGGGTCAGTAGAGAACTATGATGATACATTGGGGGTCAGTGGAGAACTATGATGATACATTGGGGTCAGTAGAGAACTATGATGATACACTGGGGGTCAGTGGAGAACTATGATGATACACTGGGAGTCAGTGGAGAACTATGATGATACAGTGGGGGTCAGTGGAGAACTATGATGATACATTTGGGGTCAGTGGAGAACTATGATGATACATTGGGGGTCAGTGGGGAACTATGATGATACATTGGGGGTCAGTGGAGAACTATGATGATACATTGGGGGTCAGTGGAGAACTATGATGATACATTTGGGGTCAGTGGAGAACTATGATGATACATTGGGGGTCAGTGGGGAACTATGATGATACATTGGGGATCAGTGGAGAACTATAATGATACATCGGGGTCAGTGGAGAACTATGATGATACATCGGGGTCAGTGGAGAACTATGATGATACATCGGGGTCAGTGGGGAACTATGATGATACATCGGGGTCAGTGGAGAACTATGATGATACATCGAGGTCAGTGGAGAACTATGATGATACATCGGGGTCAGTGGAGAACTATGATGATACATTGGGGGTCAGTGGAGAACTATGATGATACATTAGGGGTCAGTGGAGAACTATGATGATACATTGGGGGTCAGTGGAGAACTATGATGATACATTGGGGGGTCAGTGGAGAACTATGATGATACGTTGGGGGTCAGTGGAGAACTATGATGATACGTTGGGGGTTAGTGGAGAACTATGATGATACATTGGGGGTCAGTGGAGAACTATGATGATACGTTGGGGGTCAGTGGAGAACTATGATGATACATTGGGGGTCAGTGGAGAACTATGATGATACGTTGGGGGTCAGTGGAGAACTATGATGATACGTTGGGGGTCAGTGGAGAACTATGATGATACATTGGGGGGTCAGTGGAGAACTATGATGATACATTGGGGGTCAGTGGAGAATTATGATGATACATTGGGGGTCAGTGGAGAACTATGATGATACATTGGGGGTCAGTGGAGAACTATGATGATACATTGGGGGTCATTGGAGAACTATGATGATACATTGGGGGTCATTGGAGAATTATGATGATACATTGGGGGTCAGTGGAGAACTATGATGATACATTGGGGGTCAGTGGAGAACTATGATGATACATTGGGGGTCAGTGGAGAACTATGATGATACATTGGGGGTCAGTGGTGAACTATGATGATACATTGGGGGTCAGTGGAGAACTATGATGATACATTGGGGGTCAGTGGAGAACTATGATGATACATTGGGGGTCAGTGGAGAACTATGATGATACATTGGGGGTCAGTGGTGAACTATGATGATACATTGGGGGTCAGTGGAGAACTATGATGATACATTGGGGGTCAGTGGAGAACTATGATGATACATTGGGAGTCAGTGGAGAACTATGATGATACAGGGGGGGTCATTGGAGAACTATGATGATACATTGGGGGTCAGTAGAGAACTATGATGATACACTGGGGGTCATTGGAGAATTATGATGATACAGGGGGGGTTAGTGGAGAAGTGATCAGTAATGGGATGGTAGAACAGCCTGATCACCTCCTGTCATTGGTGCACTCTTAGCTGGTTGCCTACTTCACCAATTTTCTTTCCTTCACACAGATCAGAGAAGAGTTCTGGGAAAAGGAAATCATATTATAGAATACACCATGTCTGTGACCGTTCAGGATATTGAAAGAAAAGATCTTGCCAGGATCCGCCAATTGTCCAGGAATGAAGAAAGACTGAAGATGCAGCACCGGGCTGTCAGAATTTCCCGAATGGACATGAGGACGGAGATCCCAGTAGACACCAGACACATGGATATCCTGAGGAAATTAAAGCACAAGGAGATCTCTGAGATCAAGAAGAAGTACAATGTGGAAATGGAAGAACGTAGGAAAAATGGCAGCTCACTTGTCACATTCAGAACCATGAATGCCCCTCCTGACCTTTCACCCCACGCTTCTCACAGCTTCATCACTCTTCTGCAGAAAACTTTCTTTAATATTGAAAAAAAAGAAATCAGTGTGAAGCCGGAATTCCAGAAAGATATCGCTATACTGCAAAAACAGCTGATGATGGCAGGAATAGACATTGTGATGGAATGTTCCAGAGGCACTGTGATCCTCATTGGCCATCCAGTCCATGTTGCTTTTGCTGTTGAGAAACTCAAAGGCAGCCATAATCCAGGAAGAGGTCAAACAAGAGCTATCTCTGGAGATCCATTGGGCACCAGCAGTTCCTCAGCTGCTGCACAGAAAGCAGAAGAACCAGACATGTGTCCTATCTGCCTGTGTGAGATAGAAGATAAGGTGATATTAGAGAAGTGTAAGCATGCGTACTGCAAGGCCTGTCTTCGGGAACTCATGGCCCGTAAGCCAGTGTGTGCGATATGTGGAGTCTCATATGGGACAGTCAGAGGAAACCAGCCTGATGGAAGTATGAGTGAGACAAGACACAGAAACTCCTTACCGGGATATCCTGGATGTGGAACCATAGAGATTTACTATAACATCCCAGGGGGCATCCAGAAGGTGAGTGCAGACCTCAGAATAATGACAGAAAGACTTCTCCTAAGCTGTCCTCAGCACTGACAGGGTTGGATTCTCTTGAGCTGTCCTCAGCACTGACAGGGTTGGATTCTCTTGAGCTGTCCTCAGCACTGACAGGGTTGGATTCTCCTGACATGTCCTCATCAGTGACAGGTTTGGATTCTATTGAGATGTCCTCAGCAGTGACAGGTTTGGATTCTCTTGAGATGTCCTCAGCAGTGACAGGTTTGGATTCTCTTGAGATGTCCCCAGCAGTGACAGGGTTGGATTCTCTTGAGATGTCCTCATCAGTGACAGGGTTGGATTCTCCTGACATGTCCTCAGCAGTGACAGGTTTGGATTCTCTTGAGATGTCCTCAGCAGTGACAGGTTTGGATTCTCTTGAGATGTCCTCAGCAGTGACAGGGTTGGATTCTCTTGAGATGTCCTCAGCAGTGACAGGGTTGAATTCTCTTGAGATGCCCTCCACATTAACAGCATTGGATTCTCCCGAGATGTCCTGAGCATGGACAGGTTTGGATTCTTCTGAGATTTCCTCAGCAGTGACAGGGTTCGATTTTCCTAAGATGTCCTCAGCAGTGAGAGGGTTGGATCTTTCTGAGATGACCTCAGCAGTAACAGGGATGGATTCTCTTGAGATGCCCTAAGAAGTGACAGGTTTGGATTCTCCTGAGGTGTTCTCAGCAGTGACAGGGTTGGATTCTCCTGAGGTGTTCTCAGCACTGATGTCCTCAGCACTAACAGGGTTGGATTCCCCTGAGATGTCCTCAGCACTGACAGGGTTGGATTCCCCTGAGATGTCCTCAGCACTGACAAGGCTGGATTCTCTTGAGATGAAATCAGCACTGACAGCATTGGATACTCTTGAGGTGTCCTCAGCAGTGACAGGGTTATATTCTCTTGAGATGTCCTCAGCACTAACAGAGTTGGATCTTCCATGGCTGTCAGGGTCCTGGACATGAAGAACCAGCTTATTATGTTATTGCCCCATGCTGAATACATGGCAGAAGCAGCTCTGACATACCCCAGACATCCAGCACTCAGAGCCATCTGGGCACTTTACACTCTTTTCCAATAATTACAAAGTAAAGCCTGTGTATAGCAATAATGAACGTCCTGCAGGATATCTCAGAATATTTTATACTTATTTGTTACATTGTAATCATTATCATCAGATGTCATTATTCAGAATCCTCCTGTCTGGCTGTGCGGCCTTTTATACCACCAACATCCTGAATATCTCCAGTTCTGGTCCCTTCCTGGGACATTATTGTTTAGATTATACACTATGTTGGCAAAAGTTTTGAGACGCTTGCCTTTCCACGCACATGAACTGCAATGGCATCCCAGTCTTAGTCCGTAGGGTTCAATATTGAGTTGGCCCCGCCCTTTGCAGCTATAACAGCTTCAACTCTTCTGGGAAGGCCGTCCACAAGGTTTAGGAGGGTGTCTATGGGAAGGTTGGACCATTCTTCCAGAAGCACATTTGTCAGGTCAGGCACTGATGTCGGGGGAGGAGGCCTGGCTCACAGTCTCCGCTCTAATTCATCCCAAAGGTGTTCTATGGGGTTCCTCCACCCCAAACTGGCTCCTCCATGTCTGTATGGACCTTGCTTTGTGTACTGGAATGCAGTCATGTTGGAACAGGAAGGGGTCATCCCCAAACTCTTCCCACAAAGTTGGGAGCGTAAAATTGTCCAAAATGTCACCTTAAGAGTTCCCTTCACTGGAATTAGGGGGCCAAGTCCAACCCCTGAAAAACAACCCCACAGAATAATCCTGCCTCCACCAAACTTTACACTTGGCACAGTACAGTCAGGCAAGTACCGTTCTCCTGGTCACCGCCAAACAGACACGTCCATCGGATTGCTAGACAGAGAAGCGTGATTGGTCACTCCAGAGAACACGCCTCCACTTCTCTAGAGTCCAGTGGCGGCGTGCTTTACACCACGGCATCCGACGCTTTGCATTGCACTTGGTGATGGAAGGCTTGGATGCAGCTGCTCGGCCATGGAAACCCATTCCATGAAGCTCTCTACGCACTGTTGTTGGGCTCATCTGAAGGCCACACCAAGTTTGGAGGTCTTTAGCTATTGACTCTGCAGACAGTTGGTGACTTCTCTGCGCACTGTGCGCTTCAGCATGCGCTGACCCCGCCCTGTCATGTGACGTTGACTACCACTTGGTGGCTGAGTGGCTGTTGTTCCCAGTTGCTTCCACTTTGTTATAATCCCACTAACAGTTGAGCGTGGAATATTTAGTAGCCAGGAAATGTCACGGATGGACTTATTGCCCAGGTGGCCACCTATCACGGGACCACGCTTGGAGTCACTGAGCTCCTGAGAGCGACCCATTCTTTCACCAATGTTTGTAGAAGCCGTCTGCATGCCTAGGGGATGGATTGTATACACCTGTGTCCATGGAGGGGATTGGAACACCTGAATCACATGATATGGAGGGGATTGGAACACCTGAATCACATGATATGGAGGGGATTGGAACACCCGAATCACATGATTTGGAGGACGGGTCCAATACTCTTGGCAATATAGTGTATCTTTAGTATTATGGTGGTCCTTCCATAGCACACCCTGGGGGGGCTGTCGGTCACTGCTATACACAGGCTGATGTCTGAATACAGGAGGTGTGCAGGACTCCCACCTCCCTTCTCATGACTCCCATTATCTCATTATCCAGGAGAATCATCCTCGACCTGGAAGACATTTCTCGGGTACAAGACGTACGGCTTATTTACCGGATAACAAGGAGGGGAGAGACATCCTGCGCCTGCTGAGAAAAGCCTTTGATCAGAAACTGATCTTCACCGTGGGAGAGTCTCGTACAACCGGCGCCACCGACACCGTCACCTGGAATGATGTCCACCATAAAACCAGTGTGACCGGGGGAGCTCAAGGGTAAGATAGATACATATCATATACAGAGAAGGGGTGTATATGTAATATATATTGTGGGGGGGGGGGGGGGTTATGTGCATTATATACAGGGGGTGTATGTGTGTGTTATATATAGGAAGGGGGGCTGTAAGAGGGGCTTCATGATTGGCTGTATTTGGCACCAGGAGCACAAGTCCCTTCCCCCGTTCTTGTCCTGCTAGAACACTGTCCCCCCTTGGTGTGGCTAAACCCTCCACCTTATTGTGCCCCACTCCATGCCAGAGGCCTCCACCTAACATTCCTGGCCATAGACCTTTATATCCCTGAGGATGGAGTGGCCACACATAGGAGAATTGCTGCACTTTACTGATGGTAGTCAGGCTACGGAATTACAGTCACATCACAAGGACATACATTCCAGAGTCACCTGACATACACAGCCAATCGCATTTAGTGGACGGTTTGCAGTAGTCACAAGTAAAAGCATGTGTGGCACCTCAGCAGCCATCACCCTTACAGTCTCTCCTCCACCCGGGGTCATTAGTACTCACAGGACTGGGCTCTCTATAGTCACCTCCTCCATAAGTACACCTGTCTAGCTGGCTGCTCCTGGGTTTAGGTCTACTACTCCTGGCCTCCTGCCCTGTCCAGGGTCAATGTGTGCTGGTTACATCCACATGGTGCCCCAAAACGTGTCTGTGCTCCTCCCTACCTGACTTATGTGTGCATGGTGACTCCCCCCTGACATCACTGCAGAAGGGCTCTACCCAAAAAGGGGCCCAGCACCTGATGACACCTTCTGCTGATACTATTCTGGTACAGAGACACCTAGTGGCAAGGTAGCTGACTGCAGCTGTCTACAGGGGGTATATGTGTTCTTTACAGAGGGGGTGTGTATGTGTTATATACAGGGAGGGGTATATATGGTATATGTGTGTGGGGGTATGTATATGTGTGTTATATACAGGGTGGGGGTATATACATTATATTCCTCCAAGTATTGGGCCCCGGCCTTTCCACACACATGACCTTTAATGGCCCCCCAGTCTTAGTCCAGAGGGTTCAATATTGAGTTGGCCCTGCCCTTTCCACGCACATGACCTTTAATGGCCCCCCCAGTCTTAGTCCGTAGGGTTCAATATTGAGTTGGCCCCGCCCTTTCCACGCACATGACCTTTAATGGCCCCCCAGTCTTAGTCCAGAGGGTTCAATATTGAGTTGGCCCTGCCCTTTCCACGCACATGACCTTTAATGGCCCCCCAGTCTTAGTCCATAGGGTTCAATATTGAGTTGGCCCCGCTCTTTGCAGCTATAACAGCTTCAACTCTTCTGGGAAGGCCCCCCACAAGGTTTAGGAGGGTGTCTATGGGAAGGTTGGACCATTCTTCCAGAAGCACATTTGTCAGGTCAGGCACTGATGTCGGGGGAGGAGGCCTGGCTCGCAGTCTCCGCTCTAATTCATCCCAAAGGTGTTCTATGGGGTTGAGGTCAGGACTCTGTGCAGGACAGTCAAGTTCCTCCACCCCAAACTGGCTCCTCCATGTCTTTATGGACCTTGCTTTGTGCACTGGTGGGCAGTCATGTTGGAACAGGAAGGGGCCATCCCCAAACTCTTCCCACAAAGTTGGGAACATGAAATTGTCCAAAATGTTACCTTAAGAGTTCCCTTCACTGGAACTAGGGGGCCAAGCCCACCCCCCTGAAAAACACCCCTCACCATAATCCCCCCTCCACCAAACTTTACACTTGGCACAATGCAGCCAGGCAAGTACCGTTCTCCTGGCAACCGCCAAACCCAGACATGTCCATCGGATTGCCAGACAGAGAAGCGTGATTGGTCACCCAGAGAACACGTCTCCACTGCTCTAGAGTCCAGTGGCGGCGTGCTTTACACCACGGCATCCGACGCTTTGCATTGCACTTGGTGATGGAAGGCTTGGATGCAGCTGCTCGGCCATGGAAACCCATTCCATGAAGCTCTCTACGCACTGTTGTTGGGCTCATCTGAAGGCCACACCAAGTTTGGAGGTCTTTAGCTATTGACTCTGCAGACAGTTGGCGACTTCTGCGCACTGTGCGCTTCAGCATGCGCTGACCCCGCCCTGTCATGTGACGTGGCCTACCACTTGGTGGCTGAGTGGCTGTTGTTCCCAGTTGCTTCCACTTTGTTATAATCCCACTAACAGTTGAGCGTGGAATATTTAGTAGCCAGGAAATGTCACGGATGGACTTATTGCCCAGGTGGCCACCTATCACGGGACCACGCTTGGAGTCACTGAGCTCCTGAGAGCGACCCATTCTTTCACCAATGTTTGTAGAAGCAGTCTGCATGTCTAGGGGCTTGATTGTATACACCTGTGTCCATGGAGGGGATTGGAACACCTGAATCACATGATATGGAGGGGATTGGACCACCTGAATCACATGATATGGAGGGGATTGGAGCACCTGAATCACATGATATGGAGGGGATTGGAGCACCTGAATCACATGATATGGAGGGGATTGGATCACCTAAATCACATAATATGGAGGGGATTGGAACACCTGAATCACATGATTGGGAGGGGATTGGAACACCTGAATCACATGATATGGAGGGGATTGGAATACCTGAATCACATTGATATGGAGAGGATTGGAACACCTGAATCACATGATTGGGAGGGCGGGGACAATACTTGGGACAATATAGTGTATGTGTTATATGTGTGTGGGGGGTGTATGTATCCGTGTGTGTTATATACAGGGTGGGGGTATATATATGTTATATGTGGGGGGCGGGTGTGTGTTATATACAGAGGGTGGGGGGTGTATGTGTGTTATATACAGAGGGTGGGGGTGTATGTGTGTTATATACAGAGGGTGGGGGGGATGAGGGGGGTATGTGTGTTATATACAGAGGGTGGGGGGGGGTATGTGTGTTATATACAGAGGGTGGGGGGGGTATGTGTGTTTATATACAGAGGGTGGGGTGATGAGGGGGGTATGTGTGTTATATACAGAGGGTGTTGGGGGGGGTATGTATATACAGAGGAGGTGATTGGCCAGTACTGAACAGTTGATTCCTTTCTTCTCGTAGGTTCGGTTACCCGGATCCGGATTATCTGCGCCGTGTGCGGGAGGAGCTGAGAGCGAAGGGAATCGAGTGAATATCCCAGAGTCGGGTGTGTCTCTTCCCTGATGAATGAAGATTGGACATTGGTGGGCGGAGTTGGGTGTGTCTCCTCCCTGATGAATGAAGATCGGAGATTGGGGGTGGAGTCGGGTGTGGCTGCGATGATCGCGTCTTCCAATCACATCCTGTTCTGTATTTGGACGCATGATATTATCTTTCTTATTTAGAATCAATCAGTGAAATGTGTGTGTGGAGGGGAGGGGAGGGGAGGGGAGGGGGGAGGGGGGGGGTCAGGTCTTCCTCAGGGGGATCCTCTGGGAATCTCGTCCTATAAATGATGGCGACGCTGTGACAGATATCAGACGTGTAATAATCAGTCATATGATTGTCTGATTCGTTATAAAGTAATAAAAATGACAAATCTGAGGAGAGTTCACATGGAGCCCCAGAGGAGATGACATTCTATTGGACATCGATCCCGGGGAGAGATGGGGGGGGTGGGGGTGGATGCGTGGGGGGCGACTGTCTGGGATTTGCACACCAGACACAACTATCAGGGTGGTTTCTATTATAAGATATTTCCGGGATTTTTTGTATTTGGTTTTTATTTAGTGTTTGTGGGGGGGAGGGGCAATGCATAGAGAGCATTCATAAAGTATTCAGACCCCCTTCACGTTCCTCAATGTTGTTATGTTACAGCCGGTGTAACGGAACCGGACCCAGACTGCACTGGGGTATTTCTGTTAGACTCCCACTTCCCTGTCCGAACACAGATCCCCGGATCCCACCGCTGACCATACAGGACAAGACACACTAGTCTTGATGGATTCCAGGAGATAGACTGCTTTATTTTAACACAGACCCAAGATATATACACAGGGCAGGGAAATATAACCAGGAACAGGAAACACATCAGCAGGCTGTCCCATCAGGGGGAAGGGCTTCCGGAAACACCCCCCATCAAGCCAGTACAAACACATACATCCCATAATAGTTTGCTCCCAAGCAAGACACACAATAGAACAATGGGATGCAGCCGCATGGCAGCGAACAATGAACAACCCCCTTCCCCCAATATTAGAACATTTCACCCTGCACCCCTAACAGGCACAGGGTGACTTACACATAATAGGGATATGGGGAGCTGAGACAGGGGTCCCCCCACCCTCAAATGTCACTCCCGTCACAGCCGGATACTACATTTTTTTTTGCAAACTCCAAGCGGCCTTTCATATGTCCTGAACTGAAGAGAAGCTTCCGTCGCTCTGCCATGAAGCCCAGGTGGGTGGTGGGCTGCAGTGATGGTTGTCCTTCTGATGGATCTCCTATGCTCAGTCAGAGGGACCATTGGGTTCTCGGCCACCTCTCTTACTAAGGCCACTGTAGGCAGGAAGGGGGTAGAAGTGTCCTGTAGGCAGGAAGGGGGTAGAAGTGCCCAGCAGGCAGGAAGGGTGTAGAAGTGTCCGGTAGGCAGGAAGGGGGTAGAAGTGTCCGGTAGGCAGGAAGGGGGTAGAAGTGCCCGGTAGGCAGGAAGGGGGTAGAAGTGCCCGGTAGGCAGGAAAGGGGTAGAAGTGCCCGGTAGGCAGGAAGGGGGTAGAAGTGTCCGGTAGGCAGGAAGGGGGTAGAAGTGCCCGGTAGGCAGGAAGGGGGTAGAAGTGCCCGGTAGGCAGGAAGGGGGTGACAGTGCCCAGCAGGCAGGAAGGGGGTAGAAGTGTCCGGTAGGCAGGAAGGGGGTGACAGTGCCCTTAGGCAGGAAGGGGGTAGAAGTGCCCGAGGGGGCAGGAAGGGGGTAGAAGTTCCCGGTAGGGAGGAAGGGGGTGACAGTGCCCGGCAGGCAGGAAGGGGGTAGAAGTGCCCGGTAGGCAGGAAGGGGGTGACAGTGCTCATAGGCAGGAAGGGGGTAGAAGTGCCCGAGGGGGCAGGAAGGGGGTAGAAGTGCCCGGTAGGCAGGAAGGGGGTAGAAGTGCCCGGTAGGCAGGAAGGGGGTGACAGTGCCTGGCAGGCAGGAAGGGGGTAGAAGTGCCCGGTAGGCAGGAAGGGGGTGACAGTGCCTGGCAGGCAGGAAGGGGGTAGAAGTGTCTGGTAGACAGGAAGGGGGTAGAAGTGCCCGGTAGGCAGGAAGGGGGTAGAAGTGTCCTTTAGGCAGGAAGGGGGTAGAAGTGTCCTGTAGGCAGGAAGGGGGTAGAAGTGCCCTGTAGGCAGGAAGGGGGTAGAAGTGTCTGGTAGACAGGAAGGGGGAAAAAGTGCCCCCTATTTTCAGGCAGCCAATGAATTTGAGTGATCGTGCTTGTTGGATATTTTTTGAAAAACAGACGAATTTCTAAACAATGGTGGGAGGATCGTGCGAGAAATATAATCGAAAAATAAAGGGGCGTGACCTGGAAAGAAAAGAAAACTCTTGTCCTCAAAAATTTATTTTCTGTAGCAACACGAGGGGGAATTGATGGCTTGGTTGTTCGAATTTCGAAATCAACAGTGGCGCCATCAGGGTCAAAAACACACTAAATTTCCACTTTTCTAAAGAAAATTAGTTCAGAATTCGACCCGTGTATGGCCTACATAAGGCCTCCTTCACAGGGCTCTTTGTTGTGCACACAAAGCGGTTACCTGCAGATATGGACAGATGTCTGATCCTGGACGCAACTGACCGCATGCAGGCTCAGATATGCATTCCTATCCGACCATAACCGCTTTTTGTGCGGCTCCCTGTGAACGGCAGCGCATGCCCTGGTCAATCCAGCCGGCATGAATCTGTGGCCAGAATCTGGTGGCTGAATCTGAATGGCCATGTGAAGGATGCCTAAACGTGAACATAAAAGAAAATCCCAAATTTTGTGTTGTCACCGGAACAGGAATGGAGAGGAATTCTTTGAAAGAGGGCACAAATGGTAAAAAATAAAACCTGACAAGGACTATTACCCTCCCTAACTATACAGTGAAGGAAATGTGTATTTGCTCCCCGGCTGATGCTGAATGTTGGCCCCTCACACAGAAATGATCGGTCTAACAATGGAATGTTCACCCCTCACACAGAAATGATCGGTCTAACAATGGAATGTTCGCCCCTCACACAGAAACGATCGGTCTAACAATGGAATGTTCGCCCCTCACACAGAAACAATCGGTCTAACAATGGAATGTTCGCCCCTCACACAGAAACGATCGGTCTAACAATGGAATGTTCGCCCCTCACACAGAAACGATCGGTCTAACAATGGAATGTTCGCCCCTCACACAGAAACGATCGGTTTAACAATGGAATGTTCGCCCCTCACACAGAAACGATCGGTCTAACAATGGAATGTTCGCCCCTCACACAGAAACGATCGGTCTAACAATGGAATGTTCGCCCCTCACACAGAAATGATCGGTCTAACAATGGAATGTTCGGTGTAACACTGAGAGACAGAATACAACAACAAATTCAGCAGAAATGCGTCTAACAAATGATGACGGATCTGCATGTTCATGAGGGAAAGAAGGATTTGATCCCCTATCATTCAGCAGGATTTCTGGCTCCCAGGTGTCTCTCATACAGGTAACAAGCTGAGATTAGAAGCAGTCTCTTAAAGGGAGTGCTGCTAATCTCATTGTGTTCCCTGTATAAAAGACACCTGTCCACAGGAGCCATCAAACCATCAGATTCCAAACTCTCCACCATGGCAAAGACCAAAGAGCTGTCCAAGGATGTCAGGGACAAGATGGTAGACCTACACAAGGATGGACTGGGCTACCAAACTATGGCCAAGCAGCTTGGTGAGAAGGTGACAACAGTTGGTGCAATCATTCACAAATGGAAGAAACACAAAACAAGTGTCAGTCTCCCTAGGTCTGGTGCACCATGCAAGATCTCACCTCGTGGAGTGTCAATGATCATGAGAACAGTGAGGAATCATCCCAGAACTACACGTGAGGATCTTGTCAATGATCTCCAGGCAGCTGGGACCACAGTCACCAAGAAAACAATTGGTAACACACTACGCCGACAAGGACTGAAATCCTGCAGTGCCCGCAAGGTCCCTCTGCTCAAGAAAGCACATGTTCAGGCCCATCTGAAGTTTGCCACTGAACATCTGAATGATGCCGAGGAGGACTGGTGGGAAGTGTTGTGGTCAGAGGAGACCAAAATCCAGCTCTTTGGCATCAACTCAACTCGCCATGTTTGGAGGAGGAGGAATGCTGCCTATGACCCCAAGAACACCATCCCAACTGTGAGACATGGTGGTGGAAACATTCTGCTTTTGGGGGGTGTTTTTCTGCTAAGGGGACAGGACAACTGCACTGCATCAAAGGGACGATGGACGGGGCAATATACCATCAAATCTTGGGTGAGAACATTCTTCCCTCAGCCAGGGCATTGAAAATGGGTCGTGGATGGGTGTTCCAGCATGACAATGACCCAAAACACACGGCCAAGGCAACAAAGGAGCGGCTCAAGAAGAAGCACATTAAGGTCCTGGAGTGGCCTAGCCAGTCTCCAGACCTTCATCCAATTGTGGAGGAGCTGAAAGTTCGAGTTGTCAAACGTCAGCCACCAAACCTTAGTAACTTGTGACCTCCTGAGATGTGTGCGAACCTGGGGG